CACTTAAAAATTGCAAGAAGATTCAGATTTCGTAAAATGTAGACTGCCTTTTTTCGCGTGATTATTGAAGTATATATGTACATCAAATGATGAATCTGAAAATAAGATTCAATCACACATAATCTCATCGTATTATCTGACGGATTATGTATGTCTAACAACTTTTAGTCGATCAACGAAAGAATTTAATCATTTAATAAACCATGAGTATATCAGGAACCGTGGCTTCATCGGTATCTCTTGTCAGTACACCCGGTATACACGCGCGCATCAGGCTCTCACCGTTGCGTTGGAACACTTGAAGCTCCGACCAGTTACGGCAACAATAGGCTTTGTCTTCGCGCCGTCGGCGCTCGCAAATTGGTAGAAATCTTGATTAAAGGTGCAATTCTCTCCGCTGCTGACTGCGGCAACAAATATGAATTGCACCCCCGATGCTCCCGTCCCTTCTACATCGGATGAAAATGGAAGAAAACGTGTTGTATACTGCGCTCCTTAATTGCGCACAGCATCCGGAGAGAATCGCTATCAATGATTCTAATTGTAATATATGTGTTGTCTTTATACTCCGAATGCAAGATAAACCGCGGTTATCTCTCGCATGATAAAGGAAATATTTTCACAATCAAACTGTCTCATTTTATTCATGTCTTCTCTCAACAAAATTTACGCTCTAGACAAGATGAGAGAAATCGATCGTATTCTTATACCATAGATGTTAAAAACATTTTCAAATATAAATTATTCTGTATACATAGAATATAATAGCTCGCACAAATTATTATTGATAAAAAATTATGGTTAATTATATGTAGCATAAACAAAAAAAATAATTATACTTTTTACATACTTGTAAATATTGTTAAATAGTTATTATACTATAAATAGGTCTTGAATAAGATCAGAGAATTCGTATTTGCACACGGAAAAAAGAAATTAGTCACAATAGCTAAATTTTAACTATCTCATAATATTACAACTTAAAATTTAGTTATCATGTCTAAATTTTAGCTATAGTAACTATAATATTTTTTAACTATAAACGGAGAATTCTCCGTTAAACTATAGTTAAAAAATATTAGCTATTATAGTTAAAATTTAGACATGATAACTAATAAATTTCAGGTATAATATAAGGACAGCTAAAGCTATGATGACTAATTTTTTCGCAGTCAAAATAGAATTAAATCGAAAAGAATAGAAACAGCAAACCTGACTGAATGTGAAAACTCGTAAGTTTCTGCTTACACGATGTATATTGGCCATCACATCAAAATTAATCCTATTTTGGATTATGTGACGACTCTCATCAATGTAGGCAAAAGGAAACGAATTCTGGATACCGAAATATGGCATAGAAATGGAATATAACGCTTCGTATATGACAGATGTGACAAAGAGCTTGTCGCCATAATCCGTCTAAACAGTTTGCCCATGTGATGTCTATACAATAGCATTGGAACTATATTCATACAGTCGAACACGTCTCATTATATCTCAAAAATCCCTAATAATCTTCTATAAATCTATCTATAAATCTCTTTATCTAATTGTTGACATATTTGCTTCCAAATAAATTCATTTTCCATATTGATATTTCAGACTTACCTTTTATGAATTTTTAAGTTTGACATAATGATTATATTCAAGTCAAATAATATCGTATTTATTAATTAAATTAAAATATGAGATAAATAATTAATGTTTCATATAACGCTAATATATAATAATATTCGATTATATATTATATAATTTTTATAATTATTATATAATATTATATATAATTATATTATAATTATTATACACAATATATAATAATATTTTAAATTATTCTCAAGCATTATTTAACTCTTTGACTTGACTGATACTTGATCCTTCTCGCAAATGATTTATTCTAGTCAATTTATAATAGATACAACATACAAACATTTTATTTCTGGGTAGAATATGAAACTCAGATAATAGAGTTTTTCGACTTACAATTAACACAAGAGTGTCTCGAATTAATTCAGATATATTTACCACACTCTAAAAAGTAATAAATATCATCTTTTAAGTGTGGAGAGAACTCCAAATGCTTATCTATTGAGAATATTTGAGTAAACTGTAGGCATTTTTCTTTCTTTTTTTTTTTTTTTTGATTAGAAATTGGGCGACCCCCTCTTCCGTGCTCTCTAGCAACTTTATATGATCGCAATTTGGATGCGCGTAGCAAGCAGAGCTGCCTGAAGGCTTCAACGCGTTCATGCTCATCCTATGCTGAGCACACATCACAAAACAGAGTCAATTTACATAACGATAATTGAAACATACATGAAAGGACTTTGTAGTCCCAGCAATATCATGTATGAACAAACTATTGAATTTTGAAAAAGCATATCAATTTTGCATTTACTACACATACATACATATTTTGCGCAAAGAATATTCTATGATTAAAACAAGTTTGCAATATCTGAGAATTAAATAATATCACAAATATTTAAAAATATATTTAAAAATGTCTCTAATTTTTATAACATCTCTGTCGTTGAAGCATGTTTCCTATATAAATCCACATAGGATACATATAACTTGAAATTTATTATAAATTTTAATAGATTAAACGTCTACCGGGAAAAAAACATTAGCAATTATAGTTAAATTTTAGCTGTCCCTATATTAAACATAAAATTTAATTATCATGCTTAAATTTTAGCTATAGCATTCTGCGTTAAACTAGAGCTAAAAAATAATTATCATAGCTAAAATTTAGGCATAATAATTAAAATTCAAGTTGTAATATAAGAGGAGCTAAAATTTAGCTGTGATAGCTAATTTTTATTATATGTAGACAAAAGTTATCACGGAAAAAATATTAACTACTATAGCTAGAAATTTTAGTTGTCCCTATATTACACATGAAATTTAATTATCTTGCGTAAATTTTAGTTGATAGCTAATACTTTTTATCTACAGCATTTTTCTGTTAAACTACAACTAAAAGATATTAGTTACCATAGCTAAAATTTAGGCATGATAACTACGTTTCAGGTTGTGATATATAGACTATATAGACAACTATAAAAGTTTGCTATAAGTAGCTAATTTTTTTCCATGAAGAAGGCATCTTTTTAAACAATATCTGTATTGGAAAAGTCGTAATATATGTATGTATTCAATGTATCGAAAATATAAAATTTATTGCATGATTTTCAATATTAAATATTTCAAATAAATGCATAGTTATTATTTTAAATAAATAATATTTTCACGCTTAACTAATCTTTCAAAATAAAAGTTGATTCTTTTATTTTATTCTTGAATACGTTTATAGGTATACTCTGTCTTTTGCATGTTATTTGACTATAAATAAGATTAAAATAGTAATTTTTTTTAGGAAACAAAAGAATAAATAAGCACAAAAAATAACTCTATGTTATTGTTATATGATTGCATATAAAACCACTTATAAATAAATTTTAATTTTCTGTAAAAGTTTTACCTTCATATCTCATCAAAATCTCAAATATTTAATCCAAAAATAATGCATTCAAGATTAATATCACGTCCTGTGACTTACCTTTGATGTTATTATTATAGACAGTATAGGTTTAAATAACAGTAATCAATCAGTTGAAATTCATAAAATTTAAATGCGTTTTAAATATATATTTGCTATCATAGAGAAATTAAGTCGGTCATAGTTATGATATCTTAAATATTGATCGGAATCTCAATTCTTAAGCACAGATGAACAAATATTGTATGCAACAAGAATAGCATTTCAAATATGTAATAATCATAAATGAAAATAGTCGTAAACTTGGACCCAGCATTATTTAATAATTATTATATATAAAAATATCCAAATTTAAATATTATATATATGTTTAAAAATGCAAATTCCAATTAAATATATGTATATATAATACAAGTATATTATATATTTTTCTCTTTCTCTTCATTTTTATTTAAAAAATATTAAGATTATTCTTTTCACTTCCCAAGTATAACAAAAAATGTATAAAAAATGTTTAAAACTCATTTTCAAAAATATTTTAAAAACGTTTAAATAAGTTAATTACGTCCTCTTTTAATAATTAAAAAATTTTTATTTCAAGGTTAATGTAATATAAATATTTATTTAATATTAATTAAATATTTATTTGATTAATATTTTATTCATTTTATAAATAAAATATTAATAAAATAATATTTAATAAACATTAAATAAAAATGTTTATATTACATATTAACGTTAAAATAAATTTTTTTATTGAATAAAAAAGTATATAATGTTCTTGAAATATCTTATTAAAAATGAGTTTTAAACATTTTTATACATTTTTTTGCTACTTAAATTATTAAAGCATCAACGAGAGACATACATATATATATATATATATATATATATATATATATATATATATTAACATTTCGAAGATATTTTAAAGTTTATCATATGCGTATTACTGCGTAGATATGCAAATCTTTGAAAAATCTATAATACAATAGTTATTTAAAAGTAAAACGCTCGTGTGTTTGTTAAGTATAATTAGTCGTTTTTATGATCATATTCTCATCGTCGGTGTCGGTGTGCTAGAAAGAGAGAGAGCTATATCTATTATACATATCTGTCTATCCATTGTAGCTTCGTTTTTCTGGATGAAGAACCTTCTTCTTTTTTTTCTCTTCCTTCTCGTTGTCCTTTTTTCACGCACTTTTTTATGCATTACTAATTATTATCGCTACCACCACACTATTTAACGGAGAGAATATTTGCTCTGCTTCTCGTTTGAAAGAGTAATAATTAAATGGCGCGTAACCAGGTTTGCCAACATTTACATTTTGACTTCTACCTCGAGGGTGCGTTCGGAAATCCTACTCACGTGTTAAAGTATCTTCTAATTGGTCAATCGAGATCCGTGCTCCGTTTGCTGATTGGTTAATAAAATTTATATTATCTTATGCATAGGTTTCTGAACGAACCGATATGCTGTCAAATTAGGTAAGGTTAAGGTTGAGTTAGGTAGCAACGCTATCGTGCAATGTGTATTTTTCTATTTTGTTGTCAAAAACGTTTTTTTTAATATATTTTGCACTGATTATATAAAAGATACTGTCTCAATCAGTGTTTCAGAAGAAGCAACAGAAATAAATATATATTTTAAAAGCGAAAACTTTTTAAATGACAAACGTACGAAGAAAGTAAGAATATATGTGAATATTGTAATATTGTCAAAAAGCCGCATTTCTCTTCTCTCTTTACTTCTTAAAAGTGTATTGAGATAATGGAAACGACACCAGAAATTATAGAGGAGAGTTGCGAAAAAATTCAAACCAGTCCTCCGATACAGATAGTACGAGTGCCAGTGAAACATGCTAATCTAGGCATACGAAGTCATGCCATGTAAGCTTATAGAGAAACATATATTTGATTTCTTTGATTATATATTTTTATATATTATATTTATATTATATAAATTTTTATTTATTATATTATTTATATTCTTATTCTTTTATTTATTGATTATATATTATTGATTTATTGATTATATATATTTTTTTATACATGAAAATTATAATATATTTTTTGTTTTGGCAGGGATATGAGTACAATGGTAGAACTGACATCATTTAGTACACTTGGAAAGATACAGCCCTTCCTGGTAACTATTACGACTACTGCAGCCTTGTTAGTGGATTTACACTGTCATTTAACGGACAAGGAAGTTTGTGGCTATCTGGGTGGACACTGGGATATCAATTCACACAGTACATTTCATAATTACTGCATTTAATATTATATATGAAGTACATAATTATATTTTACATACAATTAGAATATTAATTTATTGAGTCATGTATTTTGTAGATCTTTCTATAACATGTGCATTTCCATGCCGATACTCTGGCAAGGAGAAGTCAGCTGCAGCAGCTGTGGAAGCTGAAATTGCAAGAGCCATGGAATGGAAACGTGTCACACTGGTAGGATGGTATCATTCTCACCCACGCTCTCATGCATCACCTTCATTAAGAGATGTGGATTCTCAATTAGATTATCAGATCAAAATGAAGGGGCCTAGTGATAATGGATATATACCGTGCGTAGGATTGATATGCTGTGAGTATATAAAAACTTTTTTCTGCATGTACAGTATACTTTATAATTATTTATTTTTAATTTGATAGCTCCTTACAATATGGATGGCAATTGCTATGAGTCAAATTTTAATGTCTTTTGGTCTCTGCCACCACCTGAAAATAGACCTCACGAGTATCCTCGACCAATGCTTCTCAGTTACACATTATCACAGGAACATTTTCTTTCTCAAGATACTTTGGAGGAGATTGTAAGTATTTCTTAATGAATCATTCACATATTTCAATAGTAATATTGAATATTGAATCTTTTAATTAAAGTTCAATTAAACAAAATGTAAAATTTAAAAATAGTTAGATTTACATAAGAGATTTTATTTACTATCATGATTCTCACTTATATAATTTACTTTTGTAGAGAAGATGTATAGAATATTATAAGAGCGAAGGTGGCATCGATTTTACTGCCAATTTTAACAATAATACAACATACCTTGAACGTTTACGAGTGAGTAACTATTAATAATAATAAATGTACAGATAATAAAACTTATTAAATATTATATTAATAATCTCTAATATTAATAGTGCTCCCTAGCATCAAAGTTGCCTGGTCGAAATAGATCAAACGGTTCATACTGGGACGTGATCAGAGAAATGATTTGTCCAGGCTCTGAAGATGGCAATGCACCAGAGTTCTTAACTATGAAATTTCCCTTGGTACCTTCATCAGAATCACTCGGGCCACCCGTTCCACCAGGAGTGGGTCTCACAGCTGGTAACGCGGCTGTTTTCCTCGCCCCGGTCAACTTCAAACCAGACGGCGGTGCCATAATCACTCCCACATCCAAGCCGTTCGTGTTGCAACCGTCGACCTCTCGTGATGGCATTAAAAAGGACAGTATAGGTCCTAATGATGCAGCGTCCATCACGCAGATAAAAGACGGTAACTCCATCGTAAGCTCCAAACACATTTCGCCATCGGAGATTATCCCGAGTTTTCAATCGGGCGAGCTGACGGTGTCGGTGAAAAACACCAAGTGCGATTACGATTTCGCACCGGCGGATTTCTCGAAACTGTCGAATCCCCTGGCTGGCGACGGCACCAAGAGCACTCGAACATCGAGCTCTGATTTTCCCTTGGCGGATATCACGCAGCAAATTACGAAGTTTTCGGATCTGACGAAGCTGGCGAATTTCTCCACTGCCGATCTGGCGAAACTGTCTGGCTTCTCCATCGCGGACTTTACGCGAACCACGTCGCCCTCGCCATCTACGTATATGCGTAACATTGCGAATCTGTTTAGTCCTCTTGGCAAGATCTCGCCGGCGAAGGACATGGAAGGTAACGAACGCAAGAGTGACTTCGTTACCGTCGACGCGATCCCGTCGCCCTTCAAAACTGCCGCCTCAGAGGCTTGCAGAAGTTTCTCGGCTGAAGATTATACGAGCGATCGTAAGAAATTAGAGGTACAGGCCGACTCCGCGAAAATCGGCAGACCTGGTGAACATCAAGGAACGGAAGATCTGACAATATCGAGTGTCAAACCTGACTTTGGAGGCATGTTGGATATGACGATGCTGCATAAGAAGCAACCGTCGTCCCAATCGGCCGACATGGGAGATTCCTTAAATCTTTCCAAGGATCGTTGAATCTGTGTAATAATATACTCGAAAACATTGCATTAACGTACAGTTATGTGTAAGAAGATCACCATATATCTAAGAATCTTATATATTTGTACATTATTTTAATTGTTTTTTTTAATAAGGAGAATTTTATTGAAATTAGAAATTTCCATGACAAATAATTTTCTCTATTGCATTTGATATTTCAAAATTTATCACAATATAATCACTATATGTGAATAATAATTAATAAGTTGCAATACACAAAATATTATATAATTATAAGTATTATTATAATATATATGAATTTGATTATATATAGTACATATTAAGTATATTTTGTATTTATCGAGATTATTAATTTTTGAATAATATCAGGAGAAAATCGCATATATCTAAAAATCTTGCTTGTCTTCAATAATAACTTTAAAAGAGAATAATATACTGATATTTATCAAATGAAATAAATCCATGTGTGTGTACATGTGATAGAGACATTGATTGTTTTATAAATCTTATCAAGTCAGTATATATTTCTGTAATTTATGATAAAGAAAACAATTATATTGCAAGTGGAAAAATAAGACTTTTTAACAAAATGTCTATATTTTTCGTTTAATGTGTGTATTTAAAAATATTTTTTACTTTTACATAGTATAATGTATGAAAATATATTTATAAATAGAAAAGAAAAAGGGATTATATAGATATATTAAATATGACTTTTATAGGTATTTGATTTTTTATCAAGCATTTTTACTTCTATATATTTTTGATTATTAATTAAATTACAATGTAAAGTTATTGGTAATTATATCTTAAAATTCATTATATGTAAAAGTAAATTAATAATTTATTTTTTTCAATAATTTTGAAATGATTGAAATAAAATACATTACAATTATAATTTGTTTTACATAATATAAAATTTATCATTGATTATAATTTTTTTAATGATAATGTACAATGTACATATATCTTTACAATTATGGAGGAATAATGAAGGAATTGTGTAAACTGCATAGTAATGCAATATACATACATACATGCATGTATATGTATTTGTATGTACATGTATACCACTATATAGTATACAGTCATTTTCTTTTGCTTGTGTTGCAATGTTGATAGTGTGGCATTGAACACGGTGTTGGTTAGAACGTTAGGTTAGAGCATGCGAGTTTGTGGAATGCATTTTACATCAGACAATTATTAGAATATGTTTCGATCAACGAGGTGTTTGATATTCGCGTTGCATCGCGTGAAAGATCGCGGTTGTCTGCACACGTGCTCTCAGCACTTGTCAGACGTCACCGAGTATGAATGTAAGTTGGGGTATTATTATCAAAATTAATGCAATATTTAGTTATATAAATATGTCAAGTGTAATGTTTAATTATATGATTGTTTATACATTGCAGCTCCTATTACAGATGAATATAAAAAGGGTCCACAAGAGGGTAGAGCCCTTTATTTGGATGCTCAAGCTACTACCCCGCTGGTAAGTTGAAAGCATGATGTCATATGATGCAATCTATGTGCATATAGAAAAATAAGATATTAAACTATTACGCAGGATCCTCGGGTATTGGATAAAATGATGCCATATATGACAGTATACCATGGCAATCCACATTCCAGAACTCACATGTATGGTTGGGAGTCGGAAGCAGCAGTTGAGCATGCTCGCAAAGTTAGTTGCCTTGCAAATTTATTTTCATATTTTATGATTTTATTTAGTCTATAACAAATTATTTATGTCTTTTTAATAGCAAGTTGCAGATCTCATAGGAGCAGATAAGAAGGAAGTGATATTTACATCAGGTGCAACAGAATGTAATAATATAGCTGTAAAGGGTGTAGCAAGGTTCTACAAATCGAGAAAAAATCATGTTGTGACGACCCAAACAGTAAGAAAGTTGCATCTTTACTTAATAAATCCTAATTTGATAAATATAATGAACTTGTTGAACTTATCTAGGAGCACAAATGTGTGTTGGATTCATGTAGAGCCTTGGAAGCAGAAGGATTTGATGTAACATACATTTCTGTTAATGCAAATGGTCTTATCGATCTCAACGAATTAGAAGCAGCTATTAAACCAACTACGTCCCTTGTTTCTGTAATGATGGTGAATAATGAAATCGGTGTTAAACAGCCTATCAAAGAAATTGGCGCCATTTGTAGGTGAGTGACTTTAACATTGTGCTTATTCTATATATATAATAATATTTTTTAACTCCACTTCTTTCTCTTAATGTTACAGGAAGAAGAAAGTTTTTTTCCATACAGATGCTGCACAAGCTGTTGGGAAAGTGCCAATCAATGTTAATGCTATGAATATTGATCTTATGTCTATTAGTGGTCATAAGTTATATGGTCCAAAAGGTAATTTTGCTATTACTGTAATTTACTATTTATAAAAAAGAGATGGTATAACTTTTTCATAAATAGCATGTATTAAAATTATTATGTATTAGAATTGTTTTTTATCTGTTTATATTGAAACTTTTAATAGTGAACTTATTCATGAAAAATATAAATATAATTTTCATTGATAAAAAAGTTAAATATTTTGTGTGCACCTTATATTCATTTTATTAATTATTTATTAAGGGATTGGAGCCTTATATGTTAGAAGACGGCCACGAGTGCGTGTGGAGCCATTGCAAAGTGGAGGTGGACAAGAAAGAGGAATGAGAAGTGGCACTGTGCCTACCCCTTTAGCTGTAGGATTGGGTGCTGCTTGTGAGCTAGCACAAACCGAAATGGCAGTAAGTAAAACAAATAGTTGCTATTATACAATTCCTTCTGAAGGAATTAAAATTTACATGTGTAATTTTTAGTACGACCACACATACATCAACATGCTATCAAATCACCTTATTGAGAAGATAATGTCAAACTTGGCGCACGTTGTGCGAAACGGCGATCCTGTGGCTTGGTATCCAGGCTGCGTGAATCTATCGTTTGCGTTTGTCGAAGGTGAATCATTATTAATGGCTCTGAAAACTGTAGCGCTTAGCAGCGGTTCGGCTTGCACCAGCGCCAGTTTAGAGCCCAGTTATGTGCTGAGAGCGATTGGTACTTCGGAAGATCTGGCTCATTCCAGTATTAGGTAAAATTCATATTTTAAAATGAAGGAACTTCGCTAATTAGCAGAATTATCTCATTAAAAACTTTGTACTTTATGAATGTAATTTTGTGGACTAGGTTTGGCATTGGACGATTTACAACGCTCGAAGAAATAAATTTCACCGCGGACAATACGATAAAACATGTGAAGCGACTTCGGGATATGAGGTAACACGGTTATTAATTATCATATAAACGTTTATTTTTTTTTTCAAGTGTCAGATGTGATGAAGGATCTATGCTTTAAACTTATGAGTTATTTCGATTTAACAATTTGAAACGTTTGTAATCTCGTTTCATGGAGGGAACAACTTTATCGTTGGACGTTTCATGAGATCGTGTGATTATTTCTATCTCTACGCATATGTATTAATCGTGACGACGTGACACCAAGAATAAGTACCAAAACTCTAATCTTCATTCGCTTGTTCTTTTACAGCCCATTGTGGGAAATGATGGAAAGTGGTGTGGACTTGAAAACTATCAACTGGACTCAGCACTAGTGCCTCATTATCGCGTGTAGTCTTTACGACTTTAAGTATACATAGTATGTATGTTGATTAAATATATATAATAATATCAATCGTAAATTACATTAATAGATCAAGCCTAGTCGAGCAAGAGGTATAATTTCTTACAACGTATAATAATAAATTTTTATTTAAAAGTCTTCACCGTCATGTATGTTAGATTCGATCTGTGATCGCGATACGTCATTATATATGTACATCACGTTCGTACATTCTTCCATCCTCTCTTTTTGTAACTTTTCCTCATAGAAAAGTCACATGTGATAGATGTTTGATATAAAAATTTATGTTATAATTCATGTTGAGCCTTGGTAGTTCTCAAAGAATTACACATGTCGTGTTTGTGATCACAGATTAACATAAACATGACGGGTCAGCTGCTTCGTCGATGTAGGAAATTTTAAATCGATCCTTGTCCATCTCGTGAAGTTCCATTCGCGACCGATTAGCTTCCACCAGATGTTGTGCTATATCCTCAAACATCTCATTAATTCCTTCACCAGTTTTACACGAAGTTTTGTATATTCCCGAAATCAGATTATGACATTGTTCACTGGAAAAGATTCATCTTTCTCACAATTTATATCAAAACTTAATTTAAGCTAATTATAAGAGAGAACTATTAACAATCATTACCAAAATTGTTCCATCTCTGCATCTGTGACTTGCGGTGCAACGCTTTCCACATCACTTTTGTTCCCACAAAGGAATATTTTTGCATTTTCTGCATATGTAACTATGTCAAGCAAGTGTTGAGATAATAAATGAAACGACGTTGAGTTATCCAGGGCAAACACTAAAATAGCAGCCTCTGCAAACTTGTAATAACTTGAGGTAACGGATGCAACCCTTTCCATACCACCAGTGTCCCATAATTGTAGCTAAAGAAATAAAAAAAACAAAGTCAGAAATATTCAGCGACCTAATTTCAGGAATATATAAAATATATTAATATCTTTTTATATACTATATTTAAATATTTATTAATGCAATATTTAAAACCATATACAAAATATGTATTTATTATAAATATATATTATTATATATATTTAAATATATATTATATAATAAATATGTATTATTTTAATTTGTTGCATTGTACATAACTCATGCTTGATTTAGCAGAACAAGAAAAGATAATATAAAAATAAATTATGTACAGTACAATTCACATGGAGGCAAATCTGGGACACGATCGATAAGAAAAAGTTTTTTTCTAAAGCAATCCTATTACATTCCTTGTTTTGCAGATTACGGAGTAAAAAAACAACTGGCGGAGGCAACGTCGAGACTCACCCGTATTCGTCTGTCTTCAACAACGTATTCCTTATCGATATTGTCGAGACCCAGGGTCGACTTACGATCGCTACTGGCAACGAACGTATTGTTAGCAAAGCGTCGAAATATTGACGTCTTGCCTACTCCGTACTCGCCGCACAGTATAACCTTCTGCTCCGTTACTTTGACAGTCGCCATATCGTTGACGACGTCGCGCGACACCGGCTACGATCACTAATGACGGCGCATCGTCATGCACGTGCACGTCTCTCATTTAGCAGAATTAATCGAAGATCAACGAGAAATCGCGCCTCGATGTCACACGAAACATAAATCTCTCAATTGCGACAATTATTATTAGACAGGTGATTCATCCCTGCCAATCCCTCCTCGTTTTGTCAGTGGGTTCTGACAATAGACGGTCAATGAAACCCACGCATTCTATAGGGTGTACCAAGAGAAAAAAAGTAGCAAAGTTGATTTTTTTCATTAGAATGTGTAGCGTTTTTTTATGATTTAATATTGAATCTGATGTTGAATGACTGATGTTTAATGATTATTTTTTTAAAGATATATCACAATTTTTCATTGTATAATATAATATATTCTCTTAAAAATATAAGGACCGATTGAAAATAACGTAACATATATTTTTGGAAATATAAATAATCATTTATTTATGACATAAATAATGGAAAATGAATCATGTTTGATATTTTTTTTCTAATTATAAACTCATCTTTTTTAAAATTTCGCGCCCTTGCAGAATTCTTTACAGCCTCCCATTTCTTATATCTTCTTTCGAGAGACACTGTTTTGTCAATTTTATTTTTTTAAAAAGAAAAACCATTAGACCTATTTTATTAACATGTTTTGATTGACTTCGTATTAACAATAGCCATATTTAAAAGATAAAACGCTTATGCAACTGTTGAGTTGCCTTTGTATGATTGGTGCATATTTTTAGATTCACTAATTACAGATCGATCACGTTTCCCCAAAAGTTAATAGTTCTGTTTTCTGAACGTAGTCCATCAAACGTCAATCGTTGTTTTTCGCGCGTGGATATAGTAGGTTGACATTTTGAAGCGTCCAAGGGTATAAAATGTAAACTGATCATATTAAACGGAATTTGTTTCCGTTTCATCTTATCAGTTTTGTTAATAAAACCGTCAAGTGTTTATATTCTATCGTGTACGATGCGAATGAAAATTTTAAGAAACTACGTTTATTATTTGAAAACAAGTGGAACTTGCGTAGTGGTACTAGGGTGAGTTAAAAATAATATTTATATTTGAGATCTCAAAATCATAATTGTGTTTGAAAATACATGCGCATTGATAGAGAAATATTTGTATATTATGCAGAAGTTGCTGGTTCCTGTATCAACTACGACAGCTATCACAAATTGTTCGGTCCGCTGTCAACATAAATGTTCTAAACTTGGAACAAACGCATGCACAGTACATTTATATTGATGATCCTAGATTTAAAGGTAATTTTGCAATATGATTATATTTCTGTTAATTAACAATATAAAAATGTTACTTAATGTTCTGGATTTTCTGTTTCTAGATGTGTTTATGTTTAAAAAAGATGAGGACTTACATGGGTCTGGATTGGAGAAACCACAGAATCTTAGTGATAGATTCAAAACTGGTGGAAGATAAAAATCATAAAATTGCATATAAATTATTGTACATGGCACAAATGGGGATAAAACAGAACGATTCAAAGCTGTGACTGCTCTTAGTTCTTTATTACACTTAAAAGGTAAATTTATTAATTATATATCTGATGCTATTTGTTGTAATTTTTTTAATGTAGCAAGAATAACTTGTCTTATATAGATATTAAAGATTTGTGTGTATGTGTGTGTGTATAATATTTATAACTTTTAGATTGGCAATATCGTCATTTGGCACAGATGTTGGATGCTAGAACAGCAGTAGCCCTTGCAAGAATGTCAAATGTTAATCTACATATCTTTCTGCAACCACCGTATTATCATGTACAATATAACTTACATGTATGTAACACTCATTTAAAACTTAAATATCTTTATTTGACAATTATATTATATTAATAAGTAAAATTGATTTTGTAGGATATATTAGGACAAGTACATTTACTGCTATTACATTTGAATACTTTATGTGATAATGCACATCTCTGTCTTACACAGTTCCTTAGTAAGAAATTCAAAGACTCAAATCGAGTAAGTACATGAATATATATATTGAACAAAGTATTAATTATAATATTACAATAAAAGACAATCGATTTAAAATATATATATATATATATATATATATATGTAATTACATAGTATTATCTTTGAAATTATAAATAATTACTAAATTATAATTGTGAGTAAACAAAAATTAGTTACTAAATTATAATTGAGTAAAAATGACTTTTGTCTAACATATGCAATATTACAGTGTTATTATAACTCAGTATCATATCCATGCATAATTATGTATTCAATTTGATGTACAGTATCTTGTAGAGTGGTTTGATCATGATTTGACAAGCGTAGGCCTTTCAACGGACTCAAAAATTGTCTGGGATGACGAATTGCTTAAAAGTTGTGTTCAAGCAATCTGCCATCATTCCTCTGTGGAACAGTATAGTAAACGTGAGACATAAAAATATCATGTAATAATTTCACAGATTGTTTATTCTATATATCTTATTTCTATATGTCTTTTAAATTTTAGACTTGGTCAATGCTGGAGCTTTGCCAATATTAACGGCAATACAAAAGATGTATAGCGATGACATTGAAATTTGCATATTACTCGCGAAAATATTATCCAATTTATCTCTTCACTCCGAGTATTTAAACAGTATTTATGAATCTGGTAAGATAGACTCGCTGATCTTTCTATGATCTGTATCATTTGCATTACTGATAAATTGCCTTTGATAAGGGTGGATCGGCATATTGTCACGTTGGTCCCGCAGCGACGATATTCGTCTGTCAGCACAGGCGATCAGTGCATTAGCGAATTTAGATACGGACGGAAACGAGGGAGCGAAATATCCGCAAAGTGTTTATCTTCTTCATCCTCTGCACAGAATTCATGCAGCCACGAAGATGGATGTTGTATTTCTACATGGACTGCTAGGTGGAGTTTTCGTTACCTGGAGGCAACGCGATGTAGATACTTCTGCACTTGAAGTTACAGGTTCGTCAATATCCATGTATGATCACATAATTCTTTTTTGAATTTTATTTCGTGTGTTATAATAAAATTATCTATATTTTTTAAATACATATTTACACATACACAATTTTACACATTTAATTGTAGATGCCAATACATTAAATCAAAGTACGGATTATTTATCTGCTATGATTGATGATGATCGTCCTCAGGAATTTTTTAAAGACTTAGCACGTGATTTGCACTTACGTGAATGGAGAAAACTGGGCCAGGATTTTGAAGTGGTATTGGATGATTGTCCGCTAAACACAAATGTTTGTGCACACGGACCTTACTTTTGCAGAGGGTAAATTTTCATAAATATTACCATGTCTTTAATTAATAATGAATTTTTATATACGATATTTTTAGGGATGATGCCTGCATGAAAAATAATTGCCAATCTATGTCTAAATCACTATGTTGGCCTAAAGACTGGTTACCTATAGACATACCATCTTTAAGACTTATTGGTATTAATTATGGTACGAGTTTGTCTATGTGGACTCCTTTCTGCCCAATAGAAAGTGAGAAGTGAGTGTTATATTTATAATACATTTCTTATTATTGCACAGGAATGTTATTTTATTTCAATCTCTTTTCCCGGTGTTTTTAAAATATTGATATTGAATATATATCAATAATTAATATTTAATACATCACATTTTTAATTAGAAATACAATCAAAGAGAGGAGCGAAGAATTTGTTACCAAATTAACAATGGCAAATGTGGGACAGCGGCCACTTATATGGGTCACTCATTCAATGGGTGGATTGTTAGTTAAAAAAATGCTTGTAGAAGGTAAATTCAATTTGCGTATATTTTTTATATGTTTTAATATATCAAGAAAATCTATTGTTATATTGCTATTATTAATACTATTACAAGTCATTATTATGTATTCCTTATAGAGTGGAAAACGGGAGATAAACACGGTATTTGCAAGAATACCAAAGCTATCGTATTTTACGGTACTCCTCATCGAGGTTCTCATGTGGCAGCTCTAAAACAAACGACGCAAATGTTGGTGTGGCCAACAGTTGAGGTTCAAGAATTGCGCGAAGGTAATTTTTTATTGAGAGAGAGAGAAAGATCCATCATTAGTTCTCTAATTAATAAACTACTAATTTATTATTCTAACGTTTCAGAATCGCCACAATTGTTGAGATTGCACGAGGAGTTCCTAGAAATGTTGAAGAAATATCACATAGAGATTGTGAGTTTCGCCGAAACCAAACCTACGCTTGTAACGACGCTAAAATTTCCCTTTCAATTCGTCAGCCTTAATTCAGCAGGTAATTAAGGAATTAAGATGATGTATTAGATTTTTTATATTTACATACGATTAAATTTTAATATAATTTAATGGCGATAAATCTAATCTCTTATCACATGATAATATGCTATATTATACATATGTATTACATATCTTTCCAGATCCTGGCATAGGGGAATTCTTCGAGATTCCACAGGATCATTTATCAATATGCAAACCAGCTAGCAGGTAATTAAGCGCGGTTTAAAGGCATCATTGGTAGAATAGAAAGTCTCCTTAAATTGTATTTAAAAATAGAAGATTCAGAGCACACGCACATTATTCTTATTGAACTTTTATTGAACCAATGATGTTTCGAAACTGTATTCTATCAAATATATGTGATCACATTTTTTTAATGAAATCAATTACAACATAAAAGGAAGAATAATAAATAAACTCACGATATTTCATTTTTTTTTGTGAATAGGCAATCGTTCTTGTACCAAAAACTTTTGAGCGTGCTCAAACATCATGTTAATCATCAGGAAAAAACGACCATCTCGTCAATTGGGAACTTATTTTCACTGGATAAATTATTTTAGGTCTGTATATATAAAAGTTTTATATATTTTTTTAAATATAAATTTGAATATGCAAAGAGAATATATGTATGAATAATTGTACAAAAAATTTGTACAACATAACTTGGTCTCAATATCTTATCATTTATCATAAAATCATTGTCAATATAATCCCTACTTTCCTGTTGCCTAATTCTTTTTTTTTCATACTCGCAATTTTAAATACATTGCAGTAAAATAAATTGGCATCATATATATCGCTGGATGGAGTGCGATCAATTATACATATTATCGATTATTTATTATTCTGACTAGAATAAATAAATTCATATTAAAGTGAATAAAAGATAAAGTACAACAATGAATTCTCAATGACAATTTTTGCGTAGTAATGTGTGAACACAAAGTATTAATATATGTATGAGAATACAAAATAACAAATTCATATATTTAAAATGCGAAGGTGTAGTGTTGGATCTCGTATCGCAAGATATTACGATATGCACATTATTAGAAAAACAGAATATATATTCCAGGATCTCGTAACTGTTTATCCGAGACGTTGAATAAATTAAATGAAATCCATATCAGTAGAAGAAATCGTAATTTTTATTACCGTCAAGTTTAGAAGTTTGTGTCATAATCGGGATAGTGACGGCTGGATAAGTTCGTGGTACTGTCGTAACCATACTTGCTGCTATGCGAAGGATTATAATAATATCCGTTCCATTCCGATCGCCAACTATCGTATAGATTGTACTTTTTGTTATCCTGGAAAGATTTATCGACCAGAATCTAAAAACAATATGTTCGATATAAATATATCACGTCGCTAAATTAATTCACAACGTGTGTCTATGCGCACATTTACCTTATTAGAAGTCGACTCGAAAGACTTATCATTCCAAGAGACATCAGGATCGGTCCATATCGTATGTACCGGTTTTGAATAATCACTAGATCTGTGATTAGACGTGTGTTTAACTATCTCTTCATCATAAATAGTGGACATAGTCGGTTTTAACTTGGATCTGTTTTGTCTATTGACGAGCTGGAAATAGTTTCGTTTGTTAGTTTTATTTCCGATTATAAAAAAATTTCAAATAGTTTTAAATTTGAATTTCAAGTTACCACAGATACGCCAAACACGATAATGAATAGTAAACCTCCGACTCCTATTACTATCACCGCGATAGCCCACTGAGGTATTAACTTATCGTCCTTCTCCATATACTGTGGTGTAATCGTCTTAGGTATCACTGAGAAATAATGCATACATTCAGGAAACAAGATTTTATTTAAAATTAATATTTAAAATATTTAAAAAAAAATTTTTGCGCGTAATGACGTACCTACAAAATCGGTGTATCTAGGATCGATAGTAAAGACTCCCATCCTTAACGCACCCTTCGTACTTGTTTCGTTCCATCGATTAGCATTGTACGTTCTGAGCGAATCGTGGAAAATCACTTTCAGTTCCTGTGTATTTACTTTTTGCTCCACATTGGCCAGTTCGATAAAGTAGTCTACTAGGATGCTGCCTTGACTGAAAACAACCATTATATCTTTTACTCTCATATCAATTTATAGCAATGATTCAACATATAATTCGCTAAAAAGTTTTAATACGAAAATTCTATTGTACAATCTGCATATGAAATTTATTCTAATCATATTTAATTTATTGCAGCATCACTTCAACATTACATTAAACTTAATTACCTGAAGGAGTCGATCCTTATATTTTTATACCAGTTCATTAAAACACTGGATTTTGAGAATATAAAGTCCATCTAAAAACAAAATATGATTTAATAAATTAAAAATATGATTAGCAGCGATGAAAGCTTGTAGGAATCTTATTAAAAAATACCTCTCGTTCCACTTGATTCGCAAGTTCCTGCCACTCACGAGTGTTCCGATCGAACAATTCTGGCACCCATGTCGCGTTTCCGATGATACGTATCGTGCCGGCGACCTCGCATTCATCGTCGCATATACCGGGAGTCGTCGGTCTCGGTGTCGTCGTCGTCGTCGTCGACGTCGACGATGTGCTTGAGATCTCGTTTGTGCTGGGAATAAGCGACATATTCACCGACGCTACTGTAGCTGTTCGCGCAGCTTCCAATAGCTTCTCGATGGAGATCGGTGTGGTGGACGGAGTTGGCCATCCGGTGAACTCTGTAGTAGCTCTGAAATTTATTGACAATGATTATACGAATAAATATTGATGAGATATTGATTTTATATATGCATTAGATACTGTTATTTTATGGGTTTTAATGTGAACTCTTATCAAGAGTTATAAAAAGTGAATAAAATGTATTATTTGCAATGAACAGAGATAGGACATTATAAAATATCGATTTACCTAGTCGGCCATCCTTTCTGTATTTTTGGTGTCACTGTACTAGGACCGTCTCCACGTGCAGTTTGCGGAGTAGTAATTTTATGAATAGGCTTGCGACCGCCTGGTCTGCTAGGAAACACGATCTTCAAGCTGCCGACCTTCTTCGTAGTAGGTGACTCGGCATCGGTCCGTTCTGTGACTGTTACATTCTGTTCGCTATTTGCATCGCCGGTTTCGGTATCTGAAACAAGATCCTTTTTCTTTTGTTCATAATCCTTAGGTAGCAAGGCAGAGATATCGACTTTGGAAGATGCAAAGAGATCTTGAATAGAAGAGACGATCTTTTCGGGGGAAACAGCTGTACTCTTCACTGTTGTCGATGTAGTCGTTGTCTTTATTGTGGTACTTTTGGACTTGGATTCTTCCTCGACCTTCTTCTTATCGTAGTCAGCTGGTAACAGAGATGAAATGTCGACCTTGGATTTGGCGAGAATGTCGCTTAAAAGTGAACTTTCTGTAACAGCTGTGTCTTCTTTTTTCAATTTATATCCTGATGGCAAGAACGCGCTAATATCTTGAACGACAATACTGCTTTTAGGTTTTGCTCGTGGTGTGGTCGACGTGGCCTTTGGCTCTGTTACTTCCGTGGACGTTGTCGGTTTCAATGAGGAAGGCCATCTGAAATTGACCTTGGAAACCCCTGTGCTCGGTGTAGTTCCTCTCGATACGTAATTCCGAGGTAGCAAACCTTCTAGATTGTCGACCGTGGTCTCGAATCGCGGTTTCGCCGTACTAATACCGCCAGCGTGGTCTAATCTCTTATCATTGTAACGTCGAGGTACGAATTTGCTGATGACCGGCGTTTTGATTGTAGTGGTAAAACTCCTGCGAGTCGTCGTGCGATCCCTCTCGGGTAACACGTCCAATTGCAAAGTATTACCGGCGTTCCGGAAACCACCAGTGCCGAGTATGGCGGCTGGTAGAAGATCACTCGACAACCTGGACTGCGCCCAGTCGAGTTTATCGATGATGCTCTCCGTAGACTCGGACGAAGGCAGAGACGTCTTCTTGCTCTCAAGCGATCCGCCGTGCGCCTCCACCTGTTCCACGCGATCTACCACCGGAAACGGCAAGAAACGCGCGCCAGATATACTGCGGCTGGTCTGCACGGAGGCGAGAATCCTCGAATCTTCCGTGGTGATTATCTCCGGGTATTGTTCCGTCGTTTCAGCCGACGACGAAGATGATGGTGGCGGCGCGACTTGCTCCGTGGTCGGTGAAACCGTCGTCGGAACCGATATCGTGCCGTTCACCACGCTTTTTGTGGTCACCACGGATACCACGGCGCCGCCTATCAGGATGGAACTCGGCTCGACGGAGACGCTTTCGTCAGCCTCCTCCTCGGACGCGCCGAGAACGGCGAACGTTTTATCACTGCCTTCCATGGACGCGCCTTGTTCCGCATCATCAAATTCTTTCTCGATTGATGATGAGTTGGTAGGTGATTCGTGTGAGACTTCCTCTTCGTCTTCCTTCTCCAATGCTGATTCTGACGAATTTTCCGGAGTGATGTCTTCTTCCTCGGATTCCGTGTCCGGATAATCGAGATGTTCTCCGGCTAAAGAGAAGGAACAAATAATAATTGTTATATGCATATTATGCTTTAAAGAAATTTATATACTAAAATTATAAATATCAATTTAAAAGATGTCCACAACAAGAAAATATTTTTTTTTATCGGCTTCTTTTTTTAATATCTGAAGAGAACTAATCAATTTTTTTCCTCTTTTTTTTAGTTACTTAAACTCACCTGTGGAGTCGTATCGAGAATTATTTCCATTTTCGTATTCATCGTAATAATAATATGTATTGTCGTACTGATTCATCGGGGGATCTTCGAGGTAATCTTCATCTCTGGAATTGTCTCTCGCTTCAGTATTCGACACGCTGCTGGTTTCTGTCGGAGATCTCTCTTTCTTGGTTGCACTATTGTTGATATCAGAGGAATCTCTCTTCTCCTCGACCTCTTCTTCCTCGTGCTTATCATCTTCGTATTCTTCGTCGTACGTTAGTTTAGGTTCCTTCTCCCCCTGTTCCTTCACGTGATCCTCCTTTTTCCCCTTCGATTTCGAAGCATCCATTACATTGTTCTTGTCTAGCGAATGCACCAACGATGCATCGCTGGCCTCATTGCTGGACGGTGATGCATTTCGGTCTTGCTTCTCATAGACCGAATTTGTTGGTATCAACTGTGAGAGTTTGTCCCAAGATCGAACCGTTTCTGAAAATCAATGATAAATTGAGTGAATAATGTTAGCAAGAAATATTTAATTTTTTTACATATTTCTTTTTGCAGATTTAATATCTGATATACTTTAAATTTTAATTTAGTTTATACGTGGAAATTTATCTTACAGTCAAGCATCAAAAATCTTAAAGGAAGCGAAGATACACTTTTATATTATTTTCTGCAGTCCCGCAAAAATATTCGAAAAGGAAATAAGATTTTTTTAATTTTTAAAATTTAATTTTCTCTTAGATATTTATTTATATACAGTTTTACTTATAGTTAAAATGTTAATGACATAATTTATTCAGGCAGCGTTGTTCTTCCTGCATTTGTATTTGCAAATCTACACGGAGAGAAATTTCTCTTCAAATTTATCCTGAAAATCATAGTAATCATGGAACAATTGTCGATTAATTTTATATCTTATTGTATAGATATTAATATTTTTATTGTAGTAAAAATATTAATTAGAGAATATAGGAAAAGTGAAACAAAGTTTTATGTCGAAATAAAATTTCCTCAGACATTTTATGAAAAAAAAAAGAAATGTATATCTATTTAAAACGCTCAACGCTTTCTATGTTGAAAAAGAACGTTTAATTACGTTTTATATCCTTTTTTATAATTATACCATCACATCGTAAATTTAATCATAATATATAATATATCGATTATATTTCACTGCAATAGAATATATAATTTCTTGCTCTTATCTGGCTTTCTTAATATCAATAAAAATTACATTCTTATAAAATTCTTCCAATACTATCCCACAATTACCATGATTTATTTCAGGGTAAATTCTAAGAGAAAATTCTCTCTGTGTATATTTTACTCATAAAGATAAAAAATTGTATTGTATATTTATCATTATATGTTTTTCTATATAATTTTATTCTTTCAGCTTACATAATAGCTCAATTTTTTAGAAACAAAAAATGATGAGCTGAATAGCGCCGCGACTTATTCTCGCTCTGCATTAATCGCGGGAAATCTTGACGCTTTTCAGCAGCCGATTTTCGACGCTCGTTTCCGTATAATTGTGGTCCAAAGTACATGAAACGATACGACGGCAGTTATCCCACCCAAGCACAATGCATCAGAACAGAATGCATTATCGTAGCAAGGTGAAAGGCGAAGTATCGTGCATTTCGCTGCGGTAACGTGCATTTAAACGAGTCGCGCAGGCATAATTTATTAGCGGAGGGTTTGCGCAATATAAATCGGATAATAATCTCCGAGATGAATATAACTGTGGTGCACGAGTCGGAGGAGGCAGCTCTTGGATACGCCTAGATGAGATAGAGAGCAACGAAGAATACCGTAACGAGTACCTGCGATGTTATGTGCACTGTAATAAAGCCACGTGAGATACACATCAATTTGCGGCGTGTGAGAGAAAGGAAAACGAGGTAAATTGCATAATATATTTGTTTACGAAAATAATTAAAGGAAGACACACACAATGATATTTTTTTATAATTATATCCTGATCTCAAAAGAGTCTCTCATCTCTTTCTCTTTTTTTGTAATATTATTATTTTAATATTTCTTATACTTGTTTATACATATAATTCGTAATTAATATTTTATGGATTTAAATAATGTAATTTTTATTGGTATTAAGAAAGCCAGGTAAGAGCAAGAAATTATATATTCTATTGCAGTAAAATATATTATATATTATGATTAAATTTACGATGTGATGGTATAATTATAAAAAAGGATATAAAACGTTCTTTTTCAACATAGAAAGCGTTGAGCGTTTTAAATAGATATACATTTCCCTTTTTTTTTTTTTTTTCATAAAATGTCCGAGAAAATTTTATTTCGACATAAAACTTCGTTTCACTTTTTCTCTCTTCACTTTTTCTATATTATTACAACTGTTTTCCGCCATCATTACATAATTTCTAATCGATTATAGACCTTTGCGCAGCGGTTGAGATAAAATCACTCTCTCTTTTTCTCTGTTTGTCTACCTGAGATTCTACGAGCAGCCTCGAGATATGCAATTTAATCCTAAAGTCTCTTTTGTTGTCCACGCGGTAATGTTCGCCGTTATGTCGTACTTGTATTTCAGTGTCGTAACTAGAATAGTTCCGTAGGCGTGAACGGCGATCAGATCGACGACGAGACCTCGAAATCTCAACGCGAATATAAATTAAGGCGGGGTTATACGCTACTCTCTCTCTCGCGATTTTAATCTCGCGAGATGTTTCAGCTCGACCGCATGTCGCCGTATTTCTTCAATGCACGATTTCGCTGGAAATTTATCTCGCGCGTAGTTTATTTATCGAAAAACCTCGATAAAAAAATCTTGAAAACCTTGATCAATTAAACGTTATTAAAATTAATTATTCGATAAACAGCGCGGTAATATAATGTTAATCTGTAAGTACATGGAGAGAATTTTTTCTTAGAATTTACCTTGAAAATTATGGTAATTCTGGAATAATATATATTGGAAGAATTTCATAGTAAAATTAATCGAACCTATTTTATATCTTATTGTGATAGATATATTAATAATTTTTTTATTGTGATAAAAAGATTAATTAAAAAACTTTTATAAAATTTTCCACCATATTGTCCTACGATTACCACAATTTTTAGAGTAAATTCTTGGAGAAAATTCTCTCTCTCTGCGTACAAAAGATTTAAAAAATAGTAATGAAAAAACAGGAATTTTCTTCGTGCTAATTGTGTGCGGAAAGAAACTCGCTATCGGCGCTCTCTTAGCAAATTTCTATTTCCTCTTATTTTAAAACTCGCAGAGAAAATTACGCGATTTCTACTACTCGCCCGCGGCTTTCTCTCGCACAAACAGCCACGTGTAATCTACAATAAAATTGAAAAACGTTATAAAGCAGATGCCTCCCCGTTTTATCGCCCTCGTAGATACATATATATGCATTAATCACGGCAATGACGCGCGTCCTGTAAAAAGACCAAGCACCGGAATGATGTACGAGCGTCGTCCGCGAAACGATCGCGTTTTTTGCCGCGCCTCGTCCTGGAGCCGCGTGAGTTATGCGGCTGCAAATAGCCAGGATAATTATAATTACGTGCCGTCGACCGGCCGCGATCGCGTTCACTACGCTTTTACAATCGGCCGGGATTAATAGATCGGCATGGAACGGGTATAAATTAAGGCGGGATACGACGCGGCGCTACTCTCTCGCAGCGTTGATCTTACAAGGTGTTTAAAGCATCTCTCGCCTCTCTCACTTCGTTGATACATCGCCGTGAAACCGACACGCACGACCTCGGGCTCTGCTTAAGGTATATTAATGAAAGAATCAGGCATATAAAGAAGGGAATACATAGCGTTATCGATATATGCAATAAAATAATGACAGTAAGAGACGATGTTCCCACATCGAAAAGCGAATTAATGATTGGAAGATTTTATAATTGGACTATTTACTCGTTCATTAAATTGAATTAGCAATTCCGTGACCGTCAGAAATATAGGTCGACAATGACATGAAAATGAATTAAGAATATATGAGGTATAGAAATAAAATGCAACATTAATGCAAGATAATAATTGTAGTAATTTATCAGATCTGACTCAAATATAGAATAATAATTTCAAACGTGAATAAAATGACTTGATAATTTCCGTAATGCACAGAGAGAATTTTTCGTTATGTCACCGCAAAGTTCACTATACAAATTTTATCATGTTTGGTAATAAGCTGAAAATCACCATGCTGCGTATTAAAATTATCACAAAGGAACTGCATTGCAAAATTTATATAAAATATTTTGTCACTTTTTTGGCATCTACTTAAAACTCTTAAAAAAATCACAAGTTTTTAATATATTTTATTTTAAAATTATTGAAATTTTACTATATATTTTAGTAAAATTAATCAAACAGATTTTTTATATTTTACTGTGGCAGATATTAATATTTTTATCGTGGTAAATATTAATCAGAAAAACTTGTAAAATTCTTCTACCATATTGTCCATGATTACCATAAAATTCAGGATAAATTTTTAAGTAAAAAATTCTCCCTGTGAAAAAAATATTTCAAAAATGTGAATTTTAATCTATTGCTTTTGCTGCAAAGACTGCAAGCGTCCTAGTTTTGTTGCCTATTCTTAATGTCTCTTTCATTACACCGTGGGCTTTAAGGTCACGATGTGAAGATGCCTTGGTCGAAGAAAAAATCCACCTCCATAAAATGTTAATTACATATCGTGCGACTATGATTGCTACCTCGCGCGCGCGGTTAATTGACGATCGTGCATCGATGATTGTGTGCAATCGAATCGATCCTAACAACGCTGCGAAATTTTTGCGTAAATATAATAAAAATAATACAAGTGAGTGTGTGTAGATTAAACCGCGTTTTATTCTTTTCAATCAGCTGTTCCCGCGCAATAACTCATTCGCCTATTTGATCGTGTACTTTTATGTACTTTAATTATTGGTCGTATCCTTTGAGAAATAAAAGTTTTTTTTTACATCGAGACGTCGTGTAAAGGATATTTACACACGTCTTTACGATAACAAGGATAACCAGGATCAGCTCTTTGCAAACCGAGCTCTTCGAGAGAGCTCGAAGCCGGCTATATTTTATACTCAACGGCAGATATTATCGCAACTGCGGGTGATACGCGCGAATAATGAAATCGCGGTAATAGATAATCAGTTCGCATTACTCAGGAATGGGATTAATGACTTGCGCGGTAAAGATCCTTGTTCAACTTACTTTCAGCGGCTAAACGGAGCGCGACTGTAAACGTTCATGTAATGCATTTTGCGTAAAAAAAAGATCTATTTTTTAAAAATTATAATTCAATAGTGAATTTTTTTTATTTCCTCCAATAATAACATTAATATCAATATTAAATTACAATCATATCTCTTAATAAAAAATATGTCTCTCTAGATATTAAATTGCTGAATAAACCCGCATAATACATTGGTATCATAATTAAACAATTTTTTTTCGTAATACAATTCGTAAAAAT